GTTAGGTTATATCAAAATAAAAAAAATCCCGCCAATGAAGCTCTTTCTAATGCACGTGGACTCCCTTTCATTGCTCTTAATGGTGAAATGGTATCACAGAATAACGTAGCACAAGCAATTTCGTTTCAAGAATTTCAAATACTGGAATATTTTATATTGACCGGTTCAATAGAGCACCTGGAACGATAAGCGTTTGACGCGATAGCGCAGTGATTAACCAAGTTGTGTGTCTTGAGTGTGCCCCGGGTTCGAGTACCGGGCGATGCGAACGTACTTTTTGCAAAAAAATACACTAATTAATATTGAATGAAGTTTCTATCGTGGAATTGCTTTAGTATAGCTGCGTCGAATTTCTTCCGGTGTAATTAGAGCCCATGCCTTAATGGCACGGTGAATCATAACCAGTCGCTATTTTTGTGCTGGGACAGTCATAAGATCTACATCCTCCTCACTATCGCTACCCACAATAAGATCCTCGTCTAACCACAGCCTACGCAAATGACGTTTAAACGGGACCATAATCCCGACATCCAGAGGCTGCACAGTGCTCGTCGCGTTTGGTGGAATGACCGCCACAACGCAACCCGCCTCTTCACTGGCAATCTTCATTCCTTCCTTGCTCACATGCGGGTCAAAATTGTCAACTAAGAGCACAGATGGCTCTCACCTGTGGCTTCAACACCTTTCGAAGGTACATGGCCCAGACTCGAGAATCCATCCAAGCTCGTTCTTGGACAGAATAGAAATGGCCAAAAGGAAAGGACTCAAACTCCGTTTCTTCGATAGGACCGCCTTGCTTGCCCCGCATGATGAACAAGATGGGCAGCTTCTCTCCGTTCGCTCGAGCTCCAAGAACGGCTGTCATCCGATATGAGTGCTTTTCTCCGCTTGCAACTTTCGAAGTACCGCCGCGACCGACCAAATGGCATGTGGAGGCATGTCGTAAGACATGCCGGTCTCGTCCACGTTCATCACAGCCGCGGGATCAAAGCCAGCAAACGCCTTGTGAAAGTCCACGGCAAAGTCAGTTCGAATTGCAGCCAGGTTGGCCTGAGTTGTCTTGGAACGCGACGGCTTCTGACGCGAAAATCCGTGACGAGCGCAGAACCTTTGGAGGAGCTTGAGAAGGGATTGGTAGCCATTGGTCTTGTTTCGGAGGTACGCGGATAGCCAATCTGGATGGTAACGCTTCAGGTAGTTGACGAGATGGGTGCAGGTCACCGCACGCTAGGCCTCGCGGAGCTTGACCATGAAGGCATTCAAGGCAGCAGTGTCAGGGATCTCTTCTGGCCTGCCGGCACCGTCGAGGTTGAACCACTTGCCGCTGCCATCAAAGCTCTGGAGCTTTTCCGACTGCTGCGCCCAACGAGCAAGATTGCTCTTCGGGATCCCAGTTGCTCCCTGAAGGTCCGGGTGGAAGCGGATCGAAGGACGGTGACCATTGCGCGCTTTAACGCCTGGTTGTAGCGGCGCCTGGGTTTCTTCTGGGACTGATGCTGGTACGGCACCTTGGGGGCATAAAAGGAAATGACTGACGAGCTTGTGATGACTGGCAAGGGCATGAGCGTGCGAATTTTAAATATTTCGCGCCAAATTATATTTTTGTCCAATTACATCTCATTATTTTCACTTCTTAGATTTAATTGGTTAAAAAGGTTCCACTTGATTGAAAACTTCGGCTGTCCCTTAAAATCTGTCGTTAACTGTACTGGTATCCCGGTACCCGGTTACGACTTTCCCGGATAAATGGTGGTTTATCCGTACACGAATTCTTGATATGCTTCAATTCGCAAAATTATACCTATCCAACGCCGAGCGGACTCACATCCTGGAGTAAATCCCTGCACGAATGGTCGAGAACATTGCACTGCCATACGGAGCATACTGGACTGGACGCAGCATATGCATACAATGTCGATCCAAGCACGGTGAGTAGAATCTGGAAGAGCGGCCACGTGAGCGGATGTATAGCCTTGAAAAAAGGGTAACAGTGGTCAACGTTTCAAGCATGTATCAATTGCCGAAAGACTTACAAAGAGAACCGGAAAAATACGACCCCCAACCAAAAAATGACCACCTCTACATTTTGGATATATATACATTGGCCAATATCTTGCATCAGTTAATTATAGACATTTCGACCAAGATACGTATTTACATAGTGCTCTGTAGTTGGGCAACATGAATCTGAATTTCAAATCTACCCATGTCACAGATTCAACGGTTTCAACTCACTGCCATCTTGATCTACCATGACCAAACGACACAAGCGGTCGTACTAAATGGTGCGAAGCGTCACTTGCTCCAAGCTTTTGATGAGCGAAATATCAGCAGTCGAAAGTTCTGTGCAGATTTTGGTACACCACGTGGCACAAGGATTTGATGGCAAAGTTAGCAAAACGACAATGGTAAGACATGGAACAAAGCCCTGTTTCCAACCAAGAACGAATTGCTTGAATGTTAATATATGTTCGCCGCCAGAAGCACATATTGACTTCGTCACCATGGTCAACTTCATGAAGACATACCATACGGAATGGCTGCGCGACTATACCGCGACCAAGCGCGGCGGATTTAAGTCCATCCTCAAGTTGTCCCACAACTTTGGTAAGCGTCATCATTTTTCTCAGCGTGTCCCATGTCAAGTTGCTTACGGTGAATTTGGTCCGGATTCGAAATGAATTCTCTGCCGAGTTCTGGGGGTAGTACTCTACGTACGACAGCCGTGCCAGAAATGTTTATCGTTAGCTGAGCAAATGCCTCTTAGGTTCGGATACCACGGCGGGCAAGACTTTCATGAACGGCTTCCTGACCGTTTCTTCGCTTACCGATTCCCGCGCCGCGATGGTAAGTTCGGTCATTTTGATTCGATTTTCTGCAGCTCAAATCACAAGCACTTCACGCAACAATAGGGCATGCATCTTTGTGTTCTGAGGGCCCATCACCCCGACATCAAGAGTTGACGGACACTCGTCTTCTTTGATGACAGGGGCACCAAAAACGCGCACAACTCGTCGTCCACGGCCCGTCGTGCTGGGACGGACACTTGGGCTGACAAGTTATCCACCAGCAGTGTCGCCGGGCCGACAAGCTCAAACTTAAGGAGCTCCCTTAGGTGGAAGTGCCACACGTCTTCGTCCATCTATGCCGTTTCTTGAACGGCGTAGACGTAACCCGTAGTATAGATTGATCACTCGATGGGTTTTATTTGACCAACGATCGCCCCACGCACAATAAAGAGGATTGGCAGTTTCGTTCTTAAATGAATCATTTTTTCAAGTTGACAGTGTTTATCGCAGACCATCAGCACATACGGCCAACGCCGCCGTCATACGATCGGAATGCAGTTCCGAGGAGTCACTCTTAGCTTCGGCGCTAATCTCACCAAATATGGCGTGATGGCATGTTGTTCTATACTGCTGTCTCGTCGACATTTATGAAGTCGTGCAATGGGACGTGGATGTGCTTCGACCAAAATGATGCGGCAAATGCTTCCACCTTCAAAAAAGCAACTCGATATGCTTCAATTTGGAGACGCAGGGAACTCGCCGAGTAAATCCATGACTGTGAACAAAGCGTTGGTACAAGCCGAAGAGACCAGCGTAGCCAGTGCCTGCTGAAGCCTTCGCGCCTATGTACTGGTCGACCCAGCTTTATCCACAATACCATATGTGCCGTAGTGAGGGGGTGGCCCTCATTTCGTACAGATCGCATGAATTGCACCAAGTCATCAGTAAATTTTGCGACGGGTCTACCTTGACCTCCAAGGTTGGGGTGTTGCTTTTTTCGCAAGGTTGACAAGTAAAGCTATTTTTGCTGAGCAACTTCAGCCATGTTGTACGAGGTGTCCCTTCTAAAGCGCTAATGGAACTCGCAGTAGCGTCGAGTTTTTGTAGGCAATCAGCAACTTTATTCGGGTGTCGGTGCTATATTACCGCTGGTTGCGCTACAACATACCTAACGTCGGCCCTCAGTGATCGGCCGAACTCTTAGTGATCAGCCGCGCTCTATCACCCAATAGAATCGCAAGAATCTTGTGATTGGATGAAATACGTTACTCCAACAACTAAATCCATCATAATTTTATGGTGGGAATATACATTAGAATTCAGAGGCCACAAGTGTGTCAACCTTGAAAAATGCCGCCAAGAACCTTGTACACACCCGACGAGATTGCAGCCGCAGCGAGCGACGTGATCAAGAAGCAATACAACATTCCATCCGCTGCCATAGCATATGGCATCCCTCAACGAACGTACGCACACACGTGACAAGAGCCATATTCGGTTCTACATCGACCAAAGCAATGATGGGACCAAAGCCCATCCTGCCACCAACGTACGAGGCGGACTTGGTCACCTGGATCTTAGCTATGCAGCAAGATGGCATCCTGTTGGACGCCAATCCATCATGCACAAAGCCAGCCAGATGAAGACCATCGTGCACGATCTCAACCAGCCGTACCAACTATCATCTGGGTGGTATGAGCGTTTCTTGTTTCGCTATACTGAGTTGAAGACGGTGAACTCTCAAGTCCTGAGCAAGGGACGCAATAGCGTTGTCGTGGATACAGTTGTCGTCTTCTACCACGAGCTCGTGCACTCCATGTCTCTAGTCGGTTTCAAACCCTCGCGCGTGTACAACATGGATGAGACCAGCTTCTCCTCTCGCAGCAATCTGCCGACGACATACGCCGCTACTGTCTTTGCATGCACTGCACTGCTAGTATGTTGGTACAATGCCTTGTACATGCATATGCTACCACCTTCGTGGAGCGAAGAATCGATCTTCGTAGCGATTATGGACGGGCCGTACGATGTGCAACGTAACTCGATCGGACAGGTTTTTCAAGTGGTGGCGGTAATCATGACACATCCTTGTTAAACCTGTTTGTCCTTTTGCTGTTAATGAAGCATAAATAATAGATATTAAGCAAAAAATTTAAGCTAAAGAAGTAAAAAATACAGTTGTTTTTGGAAATACGTAATGAAAATCTGATTGAAACGACGATCGCAAGTGCTTCGATGGATTTCTGGTGTTCGACATAAACGGTACCGTCCATGCAGCCAGGCCATCGGCCAACCGTTCATGCGAAAGGGAGAAACGAAGAATCGCAGCTAGGGTCCCCTCGACAACGCCGCCGCGGCACAGCGTCATCCATTCATGCGACCAGATCCAATGCACGTCGAAGAGTACTCGTTGAAAATCTCTGAGCCTGCAAGCAATGATCATACTCAGGAATCAACTTCTCGTGCGATGTAGGAGTCGATACCAGGGCAACGTCGCGGATAGTTCCTCGGTGCAATTCCACCCGAGCGGAAGCTCCACATGGATGATATTCATATGGCAGGGAGACTGCCGCGGCCCATCAAACTGTGTGAGCATTATCAACTCCGTCCATGTTTGTATTCTCTGAGGCGGGCATCAACAAGCGTCGTTTACTCATTAATATGGAGGGAGTAAGATTTTGTAAACGTGGAATACGTCAATCGATGCAGCTCGTTGAGCTGAAACAAGCTGTACGAGCAAATGCATGTTAAACACAATAACCTTCAAAATATCACCCATTAAAACTTTGAACAACTGTCAATTTGACTTTTAAACCAGCTTATGAAGGCCTAACGCTTACAACAAACCATACATGTTCTGGGAACGACAGAATGCAACGCCCACCTTGATTTCGAGCTGAGGATGATTCCACAAATCTAATTGGACCATGTACTTCGAAGTTCGACCAAAATTATAGCCTATGAGAGCTGACGATAGAAATTTTAATTGATTCATGAGGCAATAAAACTCTCGTAGATTCAAATACATAGCTTTCACTAAAAACACAAAGTGTAACGTAGAGGTCATTAGAAGATAAAGGAGGTTTCGAACTTTTCTTTGATTGATACAATGGTCCCGGTGTAAGCGTGAGCGTTCGACGCGATAGCGCAGTGGTAAACACGTTGTGTGTCTTGAGTGAGCCCCAGGCGCGTCGAACTATATTTTGGTAAAAAATTCATAATTATCTTGGTTCAAGTATGTAAAATAAATTTGCAAAAAAACATCGAATTGCAACAAATTATTGTAGGATGGCCTTTGCAAAGCTTTCGCGAATGACGTCTTCAATGACCAAGTCCCAGGCAGCAATCGCACGTTTCACCATGGCCATTCGCTTTTGTTTGGCCAAAAGAGAGTAGGGATCCTCATCGTCTCCAACCACTTGTTCCTCATAAAGCCACAGGTTTCGAAGGTTCCTCTTGAATGGAGCCATCACACCGACGTCAAGAGGCTGGCAGACGGACGTTGAGTTCGGGGGCAGAGGGCAGAGGTGCGTACCCAATTCGTCATACATGATCTTATATGACTCACTGGACACATGAGCGTCGAAGTTGTCCACAAGAACGACAGACGGGCCCTCGATGCGCTCGCCGAAGACGTCACGAAGGTACTGTGCCCAGACTCGACTGTCCATTCAGGCATTGTCCTGAACAGCGTAGAAGTGGTCAGCTGGAGAGGATGGGAATTCATTCTTCTCAATGCGACCGCCGGGCTTGCCCTTCATGATGATCAGGAGAAGAATCTTGCCGCCGTCAGCTGTGACCGTGAGGACAGCTGTCATTCTCATGGAGTGCGTTTCGGAGCAGTGAGCTGTATGCGGTCGTGTTTTTTTTGTTTCAAGGTAGACCAGGAGCCAATCTGGTTCAACTTGGTCCATGTGATCATGTGAGTAGTAGTTAGTGCCCGTTCATTGTCACGAATATAGTTTAAGAAGTCAATGAGACCTGGTGAGTCTGGTAACTCCTCATACCTACCTCCTGGTTCACCTTTTTTCGTTTCTTGTCTCCTTCGAAGGCCAGGAGCACATGACGCTGTTGGTGCCACCTTCGGACTGTACTTCTTGGCGCCTCGAGTGCTTTACTACCTCGCGACACGACATCGTCTCTAGGAGACCTAATGCCTCGGGCTTCTTCGAAATTGGATACGGTGAGCGTCTCAATTTTTGATGTGAACACTCTCATTATTTTGATTCTTCATTTAATGGATTTGCTCAATCAAGTATACAATACTTCTTCAGTTAGCTATTATTGCCACCACAACCACTCAAGGTGACCCCAAAAATTCATATTTGGGCCAAATTTGATACTGAATATCGCAAAAAGGAGAATAAGAAATTGTTGGAAGAGCCCATGGGAAGGGAGATCCAAGTGGAAGATTGGGTGGTCAAAATCGACAACGCCTTAACGCTACCAGATTCATATCTAAATAGATAGAATTTTGAATAAAACTACGGGCCTATGGGTCAGAAAATACCCTCAAATCTCCCGCCATGAGCTCACCCCAATGCCCGACACGAGAATTGACTCCGATTACCCTGCAAGAACACATATGTACGGGAAAGCTTCCACGTGGAGCAATCAAAGCAATTGCGGCGCAATTCCAACTCAACCGTTGCACCGTGCGAGAAGTATGTTGCCGCTACAAGGTTCGCAACTTGGCAACGCAAAAAGTCGGCCGTGTTGGTCCAAAGCCCAAGCGCTCATCGCAGGAGATAAGTGACCTAATACAGCAAGTACCTCATCAAAAGCGCAGCACCTTGAGAGACATCGCCGAAGCCATCGGGTTGACCACGTTCGTCCTCAGACCTGCCCTCAAGAAAGGAATCGTTCGCTGCAGGTCGTCGCGCCTGAAACCCATTCTGACAAAAGTATACAGACGCGAGCGACTTGCATTCTGTGCAGTCCACGTCAACCTAACACACGAGGCCATCGACTCTTACCTAGCCGGTGGCAACACTACTGCCGTCGGTCAAGCTGTCGTTGCCGGAAGAGGCTCGCGCCGGCACACTAGAAAAAGTCGAACTTTCGAGGATGTGGGACGTAGTGCCGCCGTGGCCGGCACCCTAGAAAAAGTCGAATTTTCTGGATGTGGGATGTAGTGCACCTGGATGACTGGATGAGAAGTGGTTCAATGCTGAGAAGAACTGTCGCGAAGTCTACCTCGTCGATGAAGAAGTAACTGGCTACCGTGCGTGCAAGTCCAAACGGTTTATTCCGAAAGTCATGTTCCTTTGTGCCGTTGCTCGTCCACATGAGGATGCAGGCTTCGATGGTGGCTTGTTGCCCTTTGTCAAGCAAGGTCCAGCTGCTAGAAGTTCGCGCAATGGACGCGCTGGTACAAAGGTTACCACTGTAATCAATGTTGCCGCCACCACGTACCGCCGTGGTTACGTTCTCAATCGCATTATTCCGGCCATCAAGAAAATGTTTCCAAGCTCCAACAAGCGTATCGTCCTGCAACACGACAACGCTACCCCTCATGGGTCAATTGACGACGCTATCCTAGCGGAAGCCTCCACGGACGGGTGGACCTTTGTTGTGCGTCGGCAGCCACCGAATTGTCCGGATTCGAACGTGCTCGACCTTGGATTATTTGCGTCGTTACAAACTTTGAGGTACAAGATGGTGAGTCGCACAGTTGATGACATTAATTTTTGCGTAAACTGTGATGGCATTTGACACTCTCACTGGAGAGACGTTGGCCAAAATTTTTCTCACCCTAGAGGTCGTAATGCTATTGGTCCTCGAGAACCGTGGTGGTAACCACATTAAGTTGCCTCATCTGCAAAAGGCTTTTATGCGGCGTACGGGCACCCTTCCTATGAATTTGTCCTGTGTCGTTGCTCTTTGATGCGGATGCACCTTCCACAGTCAGACCCAAGAATTCAACAATAAAGGTTATGACCAATGAAATATGTTCGTTTTTCAAACATCCAATTGTATTGAAGTGGTATTAATACAAAAAGGGTTTTTTTCAAATGGTGGCAGTAATAGCTAACAGAGGAAGCATTTCGCAAGCGGAGTAATCGAGACAGTTATTGAGTTCTGCCAATATATTTTTCCATAGGCCTGCTACACCAGAACCGACGGAGT